GGGGTCCATGACCCTCCACAGTACCCTTCATATCTCTCGAGAGTATGTTCCTTCTCATTCCTAGATCTCTCAAGTTGCATCAGATATCAGACATTACGAAAAAGTCATTATTCAAACATTTGACTGCGCCTCTTCATCTTCCTGTCCCCGCCCCTCTTCTAATTTCTCTTATTCTTGGTTACAGCTCATTCAAGACACCATCATCTTTCTCAACCACACCCTCAACACAGCCAGTTGTTTCTTGGGCGCATCACTACAGCACCCACTGCTGGCTGCCGTGCCCCTTAATATTTCCAACTACTCCTTCCATGCAGAAGGACAACCCCTCTGCCCGCTGGCAGACATACCCCTATGGGAACCAGAATACGCAGATAATCTCACCATCCACCACTGTGTAGGCCCGACTCCACCCCCCTCCAGCAGACTTCACTGCCTCTTTATCTACACCCCCACCTCTGACTCTAAAACTTTTACACAACCAGGACACTTCTTTTGGTGTAATGGCAGTCTTTTCAACTCACTGCCTCCCAACTCCAATATACCCTGCATTCTCGTCACCCTAATCCCACAGCTTACACTTTACAGCATGGCAGAATTTCTTGAGCTCCAACCTCCCTTGCCCTCGCGCACAAAAAGGGCTGCTTTCCTTCCCATCATGGTCAGTATCTCTTTGACCACCTCAGCCATTGGGGCATGGTTTTTGGGAGGAGCCTTGGGTCACTCTCTATGGGCAATTAGAGATCTCAATGCCAAACTTGAGGGAGCCCTGACATCCACTGCCGATTCCCTGGCCTCTCTCCAAAGACAGATCACTTCGCTAGCTAAGGTCACCCTTCAAAACCAGCGGGCCTTAGATCTGCTTATAGTCAAAAAGGGTGGCACCTGCGTCTTCCTTCACGAAGAGTGCTGCTATTATATCAACGAATCTGGCATTGTAGAAACTGACATTACCAAACTCACCGACCTTGCCTCCAGTCTCCACTCTGCTTCCAATTCCAACCCATTCTCTTCAATACTAACAAATCCCTTCCTTACCTGGCTGTGGCCCATTGCAGGCCCTATAATAATCATTCTTCTCACCTGTCTCTTCTTGCCTTGTATAACAAAGTTTATCAAATCCCAAGTCGGTAAAATCTCTAATCAAGCTTTCAACCAGCTTTTACTCAGGAACTACCAGCTTTTAGCCACAGAAGATCCCTCACCCTCACGTAACCTCCTCACCACACACTGAGATGGACCCCTTTCTCCACAGGGTGGCCACAGACGCCTGGCTTCTGGCACCCGTGTCCTCTTGGCACCATTGGAATCAACAAGTCCTCGACCTATGGTTACAGGGAACCTTCATTGATTTCCAACCTGAAGAAGTCCACATCTACTTGTCCTTACTGTGGGGAGTCCTATCTACCCTTTCCCCCCAGTCCTCAAGCCCTCACTCCCTTCTCCACCCCCATTCAGCAGGAAGCAGTCAGAGAGAAAGCAACGTCCACAACCCCATAGAGGAGAAAGCGGGGAATGAAGGGTCCCCACCCGTAAGATGGCGAACTTCCGGCTTCTCTTTGGGGTCCTCGGTTCCCGCTGGTGCCACCTGAAGCCCAATCACCTCTCACCCCCCTCCCAATCCCAGCACCTAGCCAATAGCCACCAGCTCCATAGAAGTAACACCCCAATCAGCTCATGCCCTTTCCTATATAACCCAGCACCTTTCCCTAATAAAGCAGAATTCTCCGGTGAATTTCTGCTGTGTGTTGCTCTCTCCTTTCAATATCTATCTCAGCAGGCCCTCTCTCTGAGGTTGTCTGAGTGATTTTTTACCAGACCAGGTTCTTCTGCCTTTTCATGGTGATAGAAGTGGTTGCAGGCAGGTAGCGCGTGTGTCAATTGGGAGAACAAAGTCCCTTCCTGCTTCTTGGTCACCCTGCTCTTATCCACTGCCTTTGCCATCTACCTGCACACTGGGAACAGTCTCTGGGATAATGCCCTGAGCTGCCATGGGTGGGGTGGCCCTTGGGATAGCCAAGTGTACTGTGAGGGGTCGCAGCCATGCCACGTGTGTCCTCCTGCGACATGGCACCCTTTCCTGCCTCCAGACCTTGTTCTGGCTTCTGATGCCTGTGCCATCTACCTGCACACCCAGAGCGGACTCTGCGATAATTTCCTGAGCTTCTGTGGGTGGGGCAGTCATCGGGATAGCCTAGCACACTGTGGGGGGGTCACAGCCATGCTGCATGTGTTCTGTTGTGTGAACGGCACCCCATTGTGCCTTTTGGACCTTGCTGTGGCTTCCTCTGTCTGTCCCAGTTAGCTCTGCACTGGGAGGAGACTGTGTGTTTGCTGTGGGTGGGGCTGTTCTCCAGTTGCTCTGCAGCTGTGGCAGGTCAGCTGATTTGCTTGCAGCACTGGCCAGGGGCTTATCGCCTTGAGGGGCTTTGGGGCTGTGTTACCCCCCAGGCGGTTAGGGAGACTGAGGTTACTCAAGATTCCCAGCCTGCTGAGCTGAGTATGCTTGGGTGATTTTGTCCAGCTGTTGACCCTTTGTCCCTTTAAGACTTTTAAAAAGCGCCCGCTTTTCTTTTGTCCCAGGGGAGCCTGCTGTGGGGACCCGCTTGCAGTCTCTGTCTCGGAGTTTACTTCTCCATTTCTCTAATATCCAGTGCACCATGCAATGTGTGTCTGTGCTCCCGATGCAGATTACTGGGGCTGATTCTTTAGTAGTCCTGTGCTTCTACTCCCTCCCCACTCTAATTCTTTTCCTCTCCCCGCCCATGAGCTGGGGTCGGGGGAGTGCTTGGTCCCACCGGGTCACAGCTTTGTATCTTACCCTCTTTGTGAGATGCTGAGTGCTCACAGATGTAGATGGAGCCTGGCTGTTGTACTGTGTCTTCTGGTCACTCTTTTAGGAAAACTTGTATTTGTTGTATTTTAAAAAGTATATATGTTTTTTGGAGTTGATTTCTGCTGCTGTACTCATGCTGCAATCTTGAGTCCCTCCCCTCTGATTCTCTCTAGTCTTCTTAATGGTATTTTCTTTTCTCCACTAGTGAACATCCTTTTCCTTTTTCTCTCTCACTATAATCATTTACCCTTGATGATCATATCCATTTTTATGACTTCAGTCCTCTCCTTTAGGCTGCTGATCTCTTAAATCTCCAAAGATGGCTACTCTAAGCTTCTAATCCGTATAGCCAATAAACTTTTACAACACCTGTGGTGGATATCTCTCCAGGCTTTGTGCCCTTATCAGGGGTTCTACCTACCCTTGGACAGAACCATGAGTTTTGTCCTCAGAGTGGCTGGGATTTCTGTGTGTTGCTTCTCTGAGACTCTCCTGCTTCCATCCAGCTATTCCATATTCACAGCAACCTCCACATTTCCAGAATGACCTGGGTCACAGAACCCGAAAGTGCCCACAAGATGTGAGAAGGCTGAACAGGAAAGATTTACATGAATTTTCAGAATCCTTTACCTTGGGACCTACATTTAATAACTTCCAGGTCACTCAGGTGTAAGAAGTGCATAGTTTGTGTTTCTATTAATTGTATTTTTTCATAATTACACTTTTATAGTTAAGAAATTAACAACTTAATTGGCCAATTCATGATCCCCCACATCCATTCTGATAAAAACAATGTCTGGCTGGACTTTTTCACAAAACTTGTGAACATGACGTTTAATAGTAAAAAGTAGCTGGTAAATTGTCCTTGAAAGCATACTTAAAAACACATATGGACTTGAACAATATGTTTGCTTAAAACAATAGACTATGAACACTGTTTAAATAAATCCTAATTATTTAATGTTTATATAATAATTTTGGTCAATTTTGTTATATTTATACTTGAGTTATATGTTGGCAGACCATTTCTGTGTCATATCCCTTATTAACTCCAAGGTGCAAGGACTTCTGTTCTGGAATGGACCATCACTGTGGTTTCTTCTTTTGTAACTGGTCTGAATCTGGAACAGACCTTTGTAATTATCCAATGTATGAATACTGCAGTTTATGGATGTACCACAGTGGCACCCTCAGTCTGATGCCATCTTCAGTGAAATTCAACAAACAAAAAATTTGTAAGGCACTGTGTTCCATGCTCCAGAGGATGTAAAGAGCCTAAGGAGTTAAAATCAATGAGGGAGAGTGTGGGCAAAATTGCAGTATTTCCAGAATCTCTTGCCTGGCTTTAGTCCCTTTACAATAGGTGTTTCTTCCTGCAGCCTTGGGGCAGAGAGGCTGTTCTCTCCTCCCCTCCACTGCCTAATAGATCTGATGACCATCTGTCACCAGGGATCTGCCCACAGAGTTTCCCCCGAAAGGGGCGGGCGGGGAGGTGAGCGCAAGCCAAGACAGGAGAGCCACGGCTAGAGGGGATGGACGGAGCCAGGCTTCTGTGAGCAATAAAAAGTTTCCCCACTTTATGCTTTTCTTAGACGTTTTTTGGCTTCACCAGTTTCACTAGTTTATTCGTGCCAGGCTGGGAACACGTTTCCCTCCTGGTGCTACAGAAAGAGGAGTCAGAGACACCTGTAGGACATTATAGCTAGGTGAAAGTGTACAGGCTTGTCGCGGAGCACAGGAATTAAGTGTTGCTTCTCACTGGAGGAGGGAGGGATGGGGAAAGTATTCCAGACAGAGGGAACAGAGTAGAGGCATGCACCAGGAAAGTTTAGGTTGTGCTTGGGAATGATGAGTAAATCCTTGGCTGGAGCACAGAGTATATGCCGGTGGGTACCAAGGAAAAAGATGAATAAAAGATTAGGGCAGCATCCTGGAAAGCTTCATTCAGAGAGAGGTGAGTCATCAAGGCTTTTGAGCATAGGTGGGACTTGCTCCCCGCACTGTTTCATGACTGTGGCTCTCAGGGTTTCATGTCAGTGCTTGACTGCATGGGTGGCTTGTTCTCTTTCCTGACAGAAAAGACTAACCTTAAAATACAAAGCAAAGCAAAACAAAAAAATCCCACTCCTGAACTGATTGCTGTTCTAATGACTTTCTCCCTCAACAGCAAAGCCCTGCAGAGCAGGCTGGAATCTGTGTCTGGATCCCCCCTTCTGTTCTGTTCTTTAAAAACCCTAAACCCCACTGAAGGGCCCCCACCAGTAAGATGGCGAACTTCCAGCTTCTCTTCCGGGTCCTCGGTTCCTGACGGCGCCACCTAAAGACCAATCACCTCTCTCCCCACTCCCACTCCCAGCACCTAGCCAACAGCCACCAGCCCCGTAGAAGTAACAACACAATCACCCCATGCCCCTTCCTATATAACCCAGCACCTTTCCCCAATAAAGCGGATTTCTCCAGTGAATTGCTGCTGTGTGTCGCTCCTTTCCTTTCATTGGTGCCGAAACCCGGGAGACGGGACACCCCAACTGGGCCCCCTCTTCCCTCCGACATCAGCAGCAGCTTGCCCTCATCCTCTTTTTCTGGCACTGGCTCATCACACTCACCACTCCTCTCTGGCCTTTAGGTAAGTTTTCCCCTAGAGTAGGCCACTCTTCCCCGAGCTATCGCAGTGCCATTGACCGTGATCGTCCGGCAAAGCCCTGATGCTCGGGGATGAGGAGGGAACTCTCCCTGCCTCAGGCCTTCATGGCTGTGGCCGACCCTCAGGTGCCCCCCTCCAACAGCCATAAACGAGGTGACTGCTTTGTGAATGAGAAAACTCCCTTTTACCCCCCTCCTCCTTCTGTTCTGTCCGCCGAAATCCATTCCATCC